ATCTCCGCTCCAAAGCCCCATAAGTTTTTCGCATCAGGCTGGCACACGCGCAACGGGAATCAAGAAAGAAGCTGAAGATTTGGCAGATAGACGGCGCCAAAGAATTCTGCAGCAACGAACTGCAGGCGTTTCTCACGGAGAAGGGGATAAAGCATCACATCTCACTCCCTTACGCTCACCAGCAGCAAGGCGTCGCCGAGCGCATCAATCGCACTCTCATGACAAAGGTTCGTGCCCTCATGAATCAATCTGGCCTACCCAAGAAGTTCTGGCCTTACACCATGAATCACGCCGTGCGGCTTCACAACCTTTTGTCAACAACAACGAACAGGGGGAATCTCTCACCGCACATGAAGTGGACCGGGACAAGGGGGGACACCTCGATGTTGAGGGTTTGGGGGTGCATGGTGCAGTACAGGCCGACATCAGCCACCGTCTGACAAATTCACTGAGCGCGCACGCTGGGGAGTTCATTTGGGCCTCAGCTATGAGTACAAGGGCTAGTTGATTCTGGACATTGACAGCAACAAGATCGTACCCACGCGAGATATTATTTTCTACGAACTACTCACCCTGCAGCAGTGGACCGAGGACCAGCGTGGTCACGTCGCCCAAGCCTACGCCAACAACGGGTGAAGCTTCGCATCACCAGAGGATGAGGCAGCTGCAGCTCACATTGACTGCGATCCTGCCGACAAACACCTCGGTGCACCTCCACGCCCGTGCGATGACGACGACGACGATGATGATGACGCTCCTGCGCCAGGACCATCACGTCGCCATAACACCCCAAGCAGCGCGTTGCCAGCACACGAGAGCGACGACGACGACGTGGTCGAGGTAACCACTCAGGAAGCCGAAGGCTCGACTAATGTCACAGGCCTTTAGCTACTCGGCCTGCACACTGCTACCACTACCCCTCCACGCATCACCGAACCGAAGAATCCACGAGAGGCCCTCACGGGCCTACACACCAAGGAGTGGCAAGCAGCGATGGATGCGGAGCTGAAAGCACTAGAGTCGAGCGACACGTGGGTCCTCGTCGATCGTGCAGCAGTGAAGGGGAGGAGGGTGCTAAGCGGAAAATGGGTCTTTTGCCTCAAGACCGCTGCTGACGGAACTATCAAACGCTTCAAAGCACGATGGGTCGTACGAGGCTACGACCAGCGCCATGGCATTGACTTCGACCAAACATTCGCCCCCGTAAGCTGCCATACCCCTGTCCAAATTCTACTCGCCATCGGAGCCGCTAAACACCTAGCACTACGGCAGATGGACGTCAAGAACGCATTTTTTTACGCGCTGGTCGACGCAACCATCTTTGTGGAGCAACCACACACCTACGGGGAAGGAGATCCTAGGGTCTGTCAGCTGAAGAAATCTCTCTACGGGATCAAGCAGGCGCCGCGTCTCTGGCAGCAGCATCTGCACAAATACTCCTCGAGATCGGCTTCAGGCAGTTGCCGCACGACCTGGGAATGTACCGCCTCCATTTCAACGGCGACTACATCCTTCTGACAGCCTACGTCGATGACCTGCTGTACACCGGCACCTGCAACAAGCTTCTCAACCAGTTCGAGCCAAACCTGGCACAGCGCGTTGACATCACCATCAACCACAAGGTTACAAAGTTCCTGGGGCTAAACATTACTTACGCACCAAAAGCAATTCGTCTGTCAGCTTCCAAGTATGCAGAACAACTGGGGGAACGCTTCAAAATTACGTCCACACCACTCTCAACTCTCTATCGCACCCCCAGCGCCAACTACAAACTGGACAACAAACCTCTGTCGCCCGCAGGACTCCATCTTTACCAACAGCAACTGGGGTGCCTGCTGTTCGCCTCCGTCACCTGCCAACCCAACCTTTCGTACATCGCCAGCCAACTGGCACGGTATTCCCGCAAGCCAGTAGCAGAGAACCACATGGACCTGGAGCGCGCCATACAGTACTTCATATCCACACCTAACATCGGGCTCTCCTACTCCACGCTGACAACAACATCATTCAACCTCACCGGCTACATGGACGCATATCACGCTGCTGACCCCGCTAATCGACGGTCACGAACCGGCTTTGTCTTCCACCTGGAGCCAACGAGCCCAATCTCCTGGAACTCACAGAAACAGGAACTGGTTGCCCTGTAATCAGCCGAAGCAGAGTACATCGCCGCAACAGCTGCAGTTCGCGAAGGGCTTTACCTGCAAGAGCTACTACAGGAGGCGAACATCCCATCTTCAAGCGAGTCAGCCCCCGACACGTGAAGGAATGAAGGGGGGTGTTACAATGTGAAACTTAATGAGAAGGCATTCCTGTACGCTACAGGAGCCGACTCTACCGAGTACAAAGTCGAGGAGTCAGAAGAGTCGAAGCGACACCAGCAACCGTCGGATCAAGACCGATGCAGGCAGAAACATTTGAAGTGAAAAGAGCGGGAACAGGTTTGAAACGAGTTCCCGTGCCGTACGGTTTAAACTTCGCTACAATAAGGGAATGTACCCCTTAGAGTATATGGCTAGTCTAGGTCATTTCGCATTTCTTTGTATTGTCAGAATCCCAACCACAAGACCATCTGGATAAAAGGGCTTGTTAAGTAGCGGGTTCGTGCGCCCATAACCCCCCAGGCCAACATGCATATAACCCTTCCCTAGGATCAATCGGGGATCATTAGTGGACCTTTGACACCCCCCCGCACTGGGATGCCCGAAGTGCACACACTAGAACTCGAACCCAAGACCTTCACTCTGATAGCATGTCAGAATCCCAGTCACTAGACCACAGGGATAAAAGGGCTTATTAAGTAGCGGGTCAGTGCGCCCACAACCCCCAAGGACAACGAGCCTGTAACCCTTCCATAGGATCAATCGAGGATCACCAGTAGACCTCTGACACCCCATTGCACTGGGATGCCCGAAGTGCACACACTGAGATTCGAACCTGAGATCTTCGCTCTGATACCATGTCAGAATCCCAACCACTAGACCATTGGGATAAAAGGGCTTGTTATGTAACGGGTTCGTGCGCCCATAACCCCCCAGGCCAACATGCATGTAAACTTTCCCTATGATCAATCGGGGATCACCAGTGGACCTCTGACATGTATTTCCTATATAAACCCAATGTATGCATGCATTATTATCTCAATCATTTACATTCACTCTGATCTGTAGTCAACACTTCCGCTGCAACACATGCGATCAACCCTGAGACAATCATTTGCTAAGTCCTGTTTAAGATTGTAACAAAAGGCCCTAGGCAGGTGCATGCCAATTATCTCACTGTAGGATATGCAAAGAATGTTTGATGTTAGTCAACATTATGAAGGTTTGGAGGGGGTAGGTGGTGGAAGGGGGGGGGGGGGGGGGGGGGGGGGTCTTAAAGACTAGGCAAAAGACGGGTCTTCACAAAGTGACCCTTATTAATAGTTTCACCCCCAGGTTAATTGACCCCCAGGAGTTTCTTGTTGGCAGGTCCAATATACTCGAGAATAAGGTACATTTGAAGTGTTGAGGTACATTTTTTTATATATTTCTGTTTTGGAAAATAATATCGTTACAAACCCTTTCAGAGTTGCCCCCAAAAAAATCAATTGTTCGAAGATTCTAGAAATCTTCTACATCCGCACCGCGGCACCAAACCAAACCCTCAATTTGGTCTTTCTCGTATGATTCTTTTCCTGACACTAACTCCATGCGAGCTTTATTCTTCGCATTCCGAGGTACGTCTCTGTCGTTCGCCTCGCCAGTGTTTTTGCAAGTAAAGCTTGCGAACGAGCGGAACACCTTGAATAAGACGTTAGCCCATCACGCATCGCGTTCTGGTCGGCCTCGCCGCAACTCTCCTCGCCTGTAGCAGTTAGGTACGCGCGCTGTCGCCGCGCGGCCGTGCATGGCGGAGCACCACATGATGCTGGACCTGCAGGCGCGCGGCATGCACGCCGCGTCGCTGCCATTCCAACCGCACCATCCCGCCGCCCTCGCTCACGTACACCCGCACCACCTCCAGCCGCCGCTGCCGCCGCCGCCGCAGGGCCTTCAGCATCAGCTGTCGCAGCAGCACGCACCGCCGCATACGCTCCCGTCGCAACACCCGTCGCAGCAGCACCAGGCCCAGCAACACCGCGCACTGCAGCACCAACCCCCGCAGCAGCAGCAGCAGCAACAGCAGCAGCAAGGCCTTGGCATGGGTATAGCGCAACCAGGAATGTCCCAGCATCAAGCGCCACGTCATCATCACCTCGCGCTCGTGCAACACCCCAGCGGAGCTGACGTGGAGGTGGGCATGGATGACGTGGACGTGGCGGAGGGCGAGGAGGGCATGATGGACGACGGCGACGACGATGACGGCGGCGAGCACGGCGGCGCGGGGTCGGGCGAGCACGACCACGACGGCGCCATGGCCGCCGGCGACGGCGGAATGGGCGGCGCGATTCGCGGCGGCGGGCCGAACATGCTGTCGCTGTCGTACCACGGCGAGGTGTACGTCTTCGACTGCGTTCCGCCCGAAAAGGTGCGCCGCGCGCCCGGCAGGGGGAAGGGGAGGGGGAGGGGCGGTGGCTGTATGGGCTGTGTGGGACAGCGAGATGGCCGGATGGGGCAATGGGCTGCCAAGTTAGGGTGGAGGGAGGTGGTGAGGTGATGCACGGCGAGGGCTGTTCATGGGGCTGTCACTTGGGGTTGAAAAGGTGGGTTGGGGGGATGCGGAATAAACAGGGTATCATCAAAATATGAATCTCTAACGTACCAAAATGAAGATAAGATAAGTGTTCGGTTGCCGAGTATTCAGAGAATTGTTGGGCAAGGCCATGGCGCATCGCACATGGCACATGAGGGAAGGCACGCGCTGCTCTCATTGCCAATGTCGTGTTAAACTGCACGGCACAGTGTCGCTGGAATGGTTAGCTCAGTTCATTGTGAATTCTGGTGCCCTAAGTGCACCGCAGTGCTCGTGTGCTCTGCTCAACCCATGCTGCCCTCTGTGCGCCTCTCTGTGCATGGCAGGTGCAGGCGGTGCTGCTGCTGCTGGGTGGCAGGGAGGTGCCGCCATCCATGGCGGGCAGTGTGCCCCAGCACCACTTCAAGGTGCGCCACCCCCCTCTCGCCCTCTTCCTCTCCTTCCTATCCCCTGCCCTCCTCTCCTCCCCATGTCCTCTCCCCTTTCTCTTCTCCCCACTTGCTTCCCTCCTTCCCCTTCCTTCTTGTCGTCCGTCCGTGCCCCCCTCCCTCCTCGGTGCACGTGCGAGCCACGGCATGCATCCCCGGTGCTCCTCGCCTTCTCGCACCCGCCTTCACGCCCCCGGTGAATGCCTCTCTTCTTATCGCTCCACCCTTCATTCACCCTCCTTTCTTTCCTTCGCCATGCGCCCATCACCCTCGCCCCCTCCCCTCTCTCCATATGTCCCTCCCCCCGTCCTCCCTCCCTGACACGCATCCCCGTCCTCCCTGCGTGCACACCCGCCATGGTTCGCAGCATCTGGGGGGCGGTTTGGGGGGAGACCTGCCAGTGCGGCTGAACCAGCCGCAGCGCCTGGCGTCGCTGAACCGCTTCCGGGAGAAGCGCAAGGAGCGCAACTTCGACAAGAAGATTCGCTACAGCGTGCGCAAGGAGGTGGCGCAGCGGTGAGGTTTTTAAAGCTGTTTACCTTGTGCTCGTGAATAGATTCTGACATGGACCGTCTTCCACCAAGAATCGGTGCTCCTTGGATGCGCCACAGAGTGCGCAGGGAGTCGATGGCGCACGTGGCATGGCGTGGCAATGGGAGGGGTTTCTCCCCAGACGCCGCTTCACCATCACTTCCGTTTCACTTCCGTTTCCCTTCCGTTTCTCTGCCTCCTGCCTGCCTCCTGTCATGTGCCTGCCCTGCCCTGGGCGTGTGCATGCATGTGGTGGGGGGGAGCATGGTGCGGGCGGGGGCATGCATGCATGCATGGGGGGGGGGGGAGCAGGATGTGTCGCAAGAAGGGGCAGTTCGCGTCCAACCGCGGAGGGGGCGCCTTCTTTGAAGACGCGCCGCCCGACATGGGAGAGAGCGCCGCCCACGACCGCCCCGATGCCGCCCCTGAAGCCATGTGAGCCCCTGAAGCCGCCCTCGCCCTTCCTTTCCCCACGTCCCTCCCTCTCATCTCCCATCGCCCCCATCCTTCCATCCCTCACGCCCCTCCCGCCTCTCCCATCGCTCCCGTCCTTCCATTCCATGTCTCACGTCGTTCTCATCCTTCCCACCTCTCTGTCACAGTGGCACAGTGGCACAGTGGCGGTGAAGAAAGCATTTCAATGCTCATTCCATCCCATTCCCTCCCACCATGCATGCCCCTCCCCACCACCACCACGCTGCAGCTGCCAGCACTGTGGCACGGGGGAGAAGGCCACCCCCATGATGCGCCGCGGGCCGCAGGGGCCGCGCACCCTCTGCAACGCATGCGGGCTCATGTGGGCCAACAAGGTGCGTGCGGCTCATGTTGGCCAACAAGGTGTGTGCGGCTCATGTGGGCCAACAAGGTGCGTGCGGCTCATGTGGGCCAACAAGGTGCGTGCGGCTCATGTGGGCCAACAAGGTGCGTGCGGCTCATGTGGGCCAACAAGGTGCGTGCGGCTCATGTGGGCCAACAAGGTGTGTGCGGCTCATGTGGGCCAACAAGGTGCGTGCGGCTCATGTGGGCCAACAAGGTGCGTGCGGCTCATGTGGGCCAACAAGGTGCGTGCGGCTCATGTGGGCCAACAAGGTGCGTGCGGCTCATGTGGGCCAACAAGGTGCGTGCGGCTCATGTGGGCCAACAAGGTGCGTGCGCGCAGTGAAGTTGAGCGGGCGAGCACATGAGTGGGCGAGCACATGAGTGGGCGAGCACATGAGCGGGCGAGCACATGAGCGGGCGAGCACATGAGTGGGCGAGCACATGAGTGGCAGAGCACATGTGCGGGCGAGGCAAACACATGAGTGGGCGAGCACATGTGCTGTTCTGCTCCCCACGGTTGTGCTGCTTCGCTATGCCATACTGCCATCCCTGTGCTGCCATCCCATCCCGTCCCTTCCTGTTCCATCCCGTCTCATGCCATCCCATCCCTTCCCATCCCATCCCATCCCTTCCCATCCCATCCCATCCCTTCCCATCCCATCCCATCCCTTCCCATCCCATCCCATCCCATCCGTTCCCTTCCCATCCCATCCCATCCCATCTCACCATCCCGTCCCTTCCTGTTCCATCCCATCTCATGCCATCTCATCCCTTCCCATCCCATCCCTTCCCATCCCATCCCATCCTTTCCCATCCCATCCCATCCCATCCCATCCCATCCCATCCCATCCCTTCCCATCCCATCCCATCCCTCCCTCGAGCCCAGCTGCCCTGCCCGTCCGTCCGCTCACCATCCACCCGCCTGCCCTCCTCACTTGTCCGGTGCAGGCCGTGCTGGCACAACTCCGTTGCAGGGCACACTTTGCTGTCTTCTTTTCTCTTTCCTCCATTCACCTCTATCCTCTCCGCCTCTCCCCCCCTCACCCCCCCTCCCCCCGGCCTTCTCCTGTACGCCTCCCTCCCCTCGTCCCCCCCTCACCCGCCTGCACCTCCACCCCCTGTCATGCCACACAGGGTGTGCTGCGGGATCTCAGCAAGGGACCGCCCGCCATCCCCGTGCTCTCGCAGCTATCCGCTCCACCCGGGGTGCAACCGGGGCCAGCAGCGGTGACAGCAGGGGCAGCAGGCGCTGCACTTGCAGCGATGCATGGCATGACAGCAGGCATGGGAGTAGGCACAGAGGCGGAGGCAGAGGCAGCGACGGGGGCAGGCTTTCAACAGCAAGCGCAGCAGCAGGGGGAGCAGCAGGAGCAGGGCGAGCAGGCAGCACAGCAGCAGCCGCACTTCTTGCAACAGGTGGGTAAAGCCCTCTTGCCCAGTCCAAGAAAAAGCTGGAAGTGCATCCGAAAGGGCAGTGGAGAAAAGCCAAGCCCGAGCTTGCATGTCTGCACCCGTGAGGCCGTGAGGGAGCTCCGTTGGCACGACTCAGCGCAATCTCTTCATTGCACATATCATGTTCTCCTCTTCCCTGGCCCTCTCTGCTCTGTAATCTGCTTGGCCCTCCGTTTGCTGCAACTTAGTTCATTCACTTATCCAGCTTCACCCTTCATTGTCATTGTCACCCTTCATTGTCACCCTTCATTGTCACCCTTCATTGTCACCCTTCATTGTCACCCTTCATTGTCACCCTTCATTGTCACCCTTCATTGTCACCCTTCATTGTCACCCTTCATTGTCACCCTTCATTGTCACCCTTCATTGTCACCCTTCATTGTCACCCTTCATTGTCACCCTTCATTGTCACCCCTCATTGTCACCCTTCATTGTCACCCTTCATTGCCACCCTTCATTTTCACCCTTCATTGTCACCCTTCATTGTCACCCTTCATTGTCACCCTTCATTGTCACCCTTCATTGTCACCCTTCATTGTCACCCCTAATTGTCACCCTTCATTGTCACCCCTCATTGTCACCCTTCATTGTCACCCTTCATTGTCACCCTTCATTGTCACCCTTCATTGTCACCCTTCATTGTCACCCTTCATTTTCACCCTTCATTGTCACCCTTCATTGTCACCCCTCATTGTCACCCTTCATTGTCACCCTTCATTTTCACCCTTCATTTTCACCCTTCATTGTCACCCTTCATTGTCACCCTTCATTGTCACCCTTCATTGTCACCCTTCATTGTCACCCTTCATTGTCACCCTTCATTGTCACCCTTCATTGTCACCCTTCATTGTCACCCTTCATTTTCACCCTTCATTGTCACCCTTCATTATCACCCTTCATTGTCACCCTTCATTGTCACCCTTCATTGTCACCCTTCATTGTCACCCTTCATTGTCACCCTTCATTGTCACCCCTCACTGTCACCCCTCACTGTCACCCCTCACTGTCACCCCTCACTGTCACCCCTCACTGTCACCCCTCACTGTCACCCCTCACTGTCACCCCTCACTGTCACCCCTCACTGTCACCCCTCACTCCTCACTGTCACCGCTCACTGTCACCCCTCACTGTCACCCCTCACTGTCACCCCTCACTGTCACCCCTCACTGTCACCCCTCACTGTCACCCCTCACTGTCACCCCTCACTGTCACCCCTCACTGTCACCCCTCACTGTCACCCCTCACTGTCACCCCTCACTGTCACCCCTCACTGCCACCTTCTCGTGCATGCCTTGCCCCTCTCCTCTCACGCAGGGACCTGCGAGCTCGGCGGTGGCAGCAGAGGCCATGGAGGTGGGCTTTCCTGTGCAGCCTGCTCCAACCCTCACCATCTCCCCTCTCGTGTGTGCTGCTGCCCCTCCCACTCAGAGTGCTGCGAGCACCGCAGTGGCAGCAGAGGCCACGGAGGTGGGTTTTCCCGTGCAGCCTGCTCGCCTGCCCTCGCAGCACCTGCAGCACCTGCACCACCTGGGCATGGGCGCGCAGCATCCTGGGGAGGAGATGGCGCCGCCACCGCAGCAGCAGGGGCAGGAGGGGGGTGAGGAGGAGCAGCATGATCAAAAGGGCCAGGAGCAGGAGCAGGTGACACATGAGCAGCACTTGTCAGAAAGGGATGTGCATGAACAGGAGGAGGGGGAGGAGGAGGGCGAGCAGGGAGAGGAGGGGCAGAGACGGGTGAAGAGGAGGCGAGAGGAGCAAGGGGAGGGAGCGGGCGACCCTGATGGGGAGGAGGGGGGGGTGGAGGGACGCACTGGGGGCGGTGGGGTGGAGGGCGGGGCGAGAGGGGATGAGGAAGGGGGAGGGGGGGATGGGGAGGGTGGAATGGAGCAGAGTGCGTATGGCATGGGTGGCCCTGAGAGGAGCCGTGGGGATGGGCGGGGAGGGGCGGGAGAGTGGGTCAGGGAGGGGGATGGGGAGGCGGGTGGAGAGGGGGAGGGAAGGGAAGCGAGAGGTTCAGCAGAAGCAGAGGAGGATGAGGAGGTGGAGAGGGGTCGGCAGAGGGGAGGAGGTGAAGGGTCAGAGGAGGGTGAGAGAAGCGACGGCGAGGGAAGGGTGGAGAGTCCGAGTTGAGGCGAGCGGTTGGTGAGAGCAGTGGGGAGGAGGGGTTTGGTTGGTCACGTTCACGTGTGGTGCAACCACACGCTTGTCATTCCCACCCATTCAGCAAATCATGCGGCACATTTATCGCCGCGTTGCCTCCCCGGACTGCATGTGGCTGGCTGCCCAGTTTTGCATTTCCATAGTTGATTCACTCCCCCTTTCACGCCGTGAGTCGGTGCCTTGCCTTAGTGGGAGGGAAAATGCCTGACTGCAATGGTGGCCAAGGCATGTGTTCAGGGCTGATTTTATCAGGGTAATTACCCTGATTTCAGGGTGATTACAGGCTTCTCACCTGGTGGTCCCTGCAATTTCAGAATTTCTGACTTGTGAACACTGATCCATTCAGAATAGTGCTTTAGCGAACCCTGAAATATTGTATCTAGGCTCAGAGTAGTGTTCTTACTGACTCTGTCAATGTAGAGTACGCGTTATATGGACTCTGAATTTGACCTTATCGGAACGAAGTTTCTCGGAAATTTCCTTCCAATAACCCCGCCTTCGGACTGGTCGCAGTACAGCCAGAGTGTGAGCAGAGCGCGGCAACATGTCTGACAGGTGAATACACTCTACGTATGTTAGTTTCACAGAAATCGACGATGTCAGTTGTATTGTCGCAATTGCGTGTGCGTGAAGTTACCAACACATTTTTTGCGTTTCGCACAATGATGTTGGCGAATTGCGGGTAATCAGCGAATAGGAAATCTTGGCACATCTATGGTACCGAACTGTTTGGTGGACCGAAATTGCTCGTTTCTTCCCCGCGCTAAAACGTGTGGAGAAATACCATTCAGAGAAAGTTAAGGGTGAGAAAGTAACGCCCACAAGGTGTGCATGAAATGATGTCGCGTTCAGGCCCTACGATATCAGGAATTTTTTCCTGAAATTCCTGATTTTCAGGGATTTTTTTGTACCTACACTGATTTTTCAGTGTTGAGAATTTTGTGACACTGATTTTTCAGCCTTTATTTCATAGTTGACACTGATTTTTCAGTCTTTTATCGAAGTGTACACTGAATGCACATTCCGAATACTTCCTGTCACTTCTGATTTTTCACGTACGAGAACGTAAGAGATTGAAGGTTTAGTGGATCAACTGTCTCAGTGGTTTGGGATTTTCTACAGACGGGTAAGGGCCCGGTTCGAATCCCTCCGCTGTCATGTTTCGTAAAGCCTACCCTTGTATACAAGGTGTTCATTTGCTTGAAAATTCAGGCTTTGTTTTTTAGGAACCCTGAAAATTCAGGGTTTTTTTTTTAGGAACACTGAAAATCAGGGTTTTGTTCACAGAGACCCTGATGCATCAACGTCCCTTAAAGTGAATCTGAGGGCCTGGTCGCGTTGTGTTGGGATCATGCGGAGTGAAACCTTTTTCCCCGTTAAACACAGTGCGCGTTACTACATTGATGTTCAATTCTCGACTCTGAGCAATCAGAGTTAACTACTTTTCAACACTGAGCAATCAGAGTAGCCTACCTGTGGAATATATGCACCCATAATAGAGGTGGGAAATTTTCCCCTGAATCAGGGAGGCTTAAAATGAAACGTCAGCCCTGCATGTGTTGAGTACAACTGGAGAGTGGCTAGCTGGTGCACTGTTCCGATTGCATATTCTTTATGAGTGCCCCTTGAAATAGGACAGCAACAAAGTTTTGAAAGTGTGATGATAGGTATGTTGCACTTCCATCGGGCACAACGAATTTGGTGCTCTTTGTTGATTTACCACTACAATGTCCTGCTCAACAGGCCCTCAGATATCAGACATTTTACCCTGATTTGACTGATTTTCAGCCTTTTTTTCTGTACTAACCCTGAATTTTCAATATTTTTTATTTTGTAGCCCTGAAATTTCAGCCTTTTTTTATGGAAGGGGATTGATTTTCAGCCTTTTATCGAACGTGTACACTGAATGCAGATTCCGCATCCTTCGTGTGAAACACCCGAGATTATCGGGACTCCAACATTACACATAAAAATGATAAATTTTGAAAGTATAATGAAATGTAACACTTTCTAAAAATTTGTATTGTGAAAAGGGGTACGTGGCCAACACAGCAAAGGTAGCGCCGAAGCGCTACTCACCCTCTTTTGCCTACAAAAGAGGGACGTGGGGACATTCGTCCCCACCCACGTTTTCATTTCCGAAATTGTAGTTCTAATTTCCCACCCGCCCACCCATTTGTGTATGCTGTTATGTAGACATATATATGACGAGAACGATGTACTACAATCCATATGAAATGATAACGCTGCCTTTGCCCATATGAAATGATAATGTTGCCTTTGCAAATCAGCCTAAGTAGACTTTCACAATACCCTAAAAAGTTATAACAAATGTTTGACTCTGGCAGCGTGAACTGTCCCAGTCGTTACCGTAGCTATTTCCAAAGGGGAAGGTCCAAATTCGATTCCCCGTGCAGTCATAACTAATTTGTCCAACGCTTGTTTCCGCAAATGTAAATTACCGTACATGAATTAGCTTTTTTTTTTTTTAGGAACCCTGAAATTTCAGGCTTTATTTTTTTGGAACACTGACAATCAGCCTTTTTTTTTCACAGGGACCCTGATGCATCAGGATCCCTAAAGGTGAATCTGAGGGCCTGCCGCTCAACACAACCCCTAACAAATGTTGGGCTGAGAAAAGCCCTTGGGATTTTTCAAGGCTAAGATCAAGTGTTGAAATAGAGATGTTGTAATTGCGGAAGCGTTGTAATATCAGAGTTGCTTGAACCACCTTGCACTAGTATGTGAGAACAAGATAACTTGATAATAACAAGGAGATACAAGCCTTTTATATGATTACAAGGAATATGAAAATGTTCTACTTTAACTGTTTTGCTGTTGCGGTTCGAAACAGTGCCGACTCGGGTAACTGCTCAGTAATGAGTCAGTTATATGTCCTTGCTGTCGCACTGTATTTTTCGTCAGGTCAAGGGTCAGCGACCTTTGACTTTCGCGTAACCTCCAGCGGTTGCTTTTGTTGACTCGGGTGTTTCTTCGTTGTAGTCTGCTCCGATTCGTGTTAACACTTCGACACTTCAGTGTCAAAATTATATGCTATAGTCTGTTTAGGCTGTAGTGGGGTAGTTCTTATAGGGTACAACACTTTTAGGTTTGCTACTTGTGCCCACCAGCTTCCTAGTTCAATCATTCATTCCTTCAATATTCTAACATGGTATTCTGTGTCGAGAGTGAAGGGAAAAAGTTGGTGCACTATCGAGAAAGTTGGGTACAAGTAACAAAAAACTATACCCTACATTAGCTACCCCACTAAAGCCTACATTCTATTATGACATAGGCATATAATTTGACACACCCCCATAGGCAAAGTGGGGGAGAGTAAGGGGTCACAAGACCAGTCAAGAGAAGCAAAGCAAGCTCAGGGGGGATCACAACGTCACCACACACACTGAGCATAAGCAAAGGGCCACAAGGCCAATCCACATGCAGAGGTATATATGCAACAACAATAGTACAGTGATCTCTACTTAGCAGAGCAAGCATGCAGGAATATATATAGATCACAGTATAAGCAAAGTCTACAGCAAGTGAGGAAAAGTGGGCACAAGGCCTAACGAAGTGCAGAAACGCTGATGATCACCAGACGGAAGTGCCTTGGTGAATATATCAGCAGTGTTGGCCCGAGTGGCCACGTGTGCAAGACGAAGCTGACCACGCTGCTGCAACTCTCGAGCCAAGAAGTAACGCAGAGCGATGTGCTTCGTTCTGTGCTCCAGTCTGTGCTCCTGACACAAGGCAATGGCGGCCTTGTTGTCGACGTACAGCACTGGAGGAGAACGAGGCCGCTCTCCCAAGTCAGTCAGCAGGTAGGTGAGCCAGCGTAACTCCTGTGCAGCCATGGCTGTGGCGTAGATCCCAGCCTCACAACTGGAGCTGAGAACTGAAGACGAGCGTGTAGAACGCCAAGAAACTGAACCAGAGCCAAGGCTGAAGGTGTAACCCAGTGACGACTGCTGCGTAGACCCAAGAAGCGTCCGAGTGACCAGTGAGGACAACGTCGCCCCGTCCTCCAAGCACGAGCCCCATGCCCGATGTACTGCACAAGTAGCGCAGTACCCTCTTAGCAGCATCCATGTGCACCTTTCGGTGCCGACCAGGAGCCACGTAGCGAGCCAGAAGGCCAAGAGGGTACGCAAGGTCAGGACGAGTGCAGGTCATCAGGTACATGAGGCAGCCCACTAGCTCTGGGTAAGGACCACTCGGCTCTACGGACTCGTCCGAAGGTGGAGCTGAGAGCGAGTGACCTATAGCCAGAGGAGTGGCCTGTGCTGAGGACCAGGTGAAGCCAAAGCGCTGAAGGACCTGCTGCACCATGTGTGACTGAGTCAGTGTGATGGTGCGGCGTGCTCTGTCCCGGGTGATCTGCAAGCCAAGGTAGCTGCGCAGTTCACCCAGGTCTGTGCACGTGTGTCTCTTCTGCAGCTCCGACTTCACCAGGGCGAGAGCCTCAGTGTCAGCAGTGGCAAAGACCAAGTCGTCGACGTACACGAGGATGTAGAACGGCGGCAGCGAAGTGTCGGTGCGCAGAAACAGCGACGGGTCAGCAGTCGACGGAGCAAACCCAAGAGCCGCAAGTGTCGTCCTCAGTGTGTCGTGCCACTCACGTGGCGCCTGGCGGAGACCGTAGACCGGCCGCCGGAGGCTCCACTGGGTACCAGGAGGGAACGACCCAGTGAAGCCAGGCGGGCGGCGCAGCCAGATCTCCTCGTGCAGGCTGCCCTGCAAGAAAGCTGTGCTGAAGTCAAGAGAGTGAAGCTCGTAGTCACGCTGAGCGGCAACGTGCAGCAGCACCCGAAGAGTGGTCATCTTCGGGGTGGGGGAGAAGGTCTGGAAGAAGTCAACTCCCTCTAGCTGACTGAAACCTCGAGCAACGTAACGAGCCTTGAAGACAGGCGGAGAACCTGGCGGCCGCTTCACCCTGAAAATCCACATGCCACTAACGATGTTCGCCC